GAGATTGGAACCCAGGGATGTGCCTCAGCTTTTCTTACCCCTCTGAGCTGGTTCTGGGACGCCTCCCATGGTTGACGCAGTAGAAGACCTCTGACTGCCCAGTGGCAGCGGCAGGGAGATGTGGTGCCAATGGCTGCCGTTCATATCAGCAAAGAACCTCACATGATCAACTCATTGACCGTGGGGCATTTTATGTCGAACAGGTGGTTTCACATTTAGCTACGACAATTCTGAGGTACTCTCTTCCTGAAAGACAACCCCAGGCTTCCTCAGTGACTGGCCTGCTGTCCCATTCTTTGCCTCCCACGGCTCTTAGATGTTATGAATAAGGGCTAATACGTGGCCCAAAGGATGTCTCGACCTCATGGGACTTTGGAGGTCATTCCAGTGAGTGAGCCATTGGGGTCTGTAACGTGCTGTTAGCTCCGTAGCAAGATCAGCACTTTCTCTGAGACTATATGATTGCAGACTCCAAAATCAGGTTTACATGATTCTTTCCCCACCGGAGGCTGTGAGACCAAGTTCCATTGACTTCCAGCCACATCTTCCACCAGAAGATGGCACCAGTGTGTCCTCTGACGTTAATGGTGGAGCTCTGCGAGTGGAAGTCAACTTGATGGTTGTGTGTTTGTTTTGGTTTTTGTTTTTATATCCTTTGTGTTTTCTCACCATAAAACGTCGTTTTCAGTGATGTGGTTTTTTTCCTCTCATGCTGCTTACATTTTCATATTGATGTGTGAGAGCTCTTTATATCAGAAAGCCCTCCATCCATTGTCTGTTCTTCACAATGCAAAGACTTTTTCCTCACTTGGGTCTTTGATTTAATTGACGTATGTAACTTTAAAACTTTTACGTGTCCAGATAACATCTTTCCCTTCGCAATTTCTGAAATCTCCCCCAGCCAAGATGATCTGAAGGTTTGCCAACAGTTTACTCACTTTGGGGGAAATGTGTAATGTTTAGACTTAACCTTTCAATTCCATTACGATTTTACTTTGTTATATGACTTCAACTATGGATTAAATATTCTATTGCTTACCATCTGGGCCCAACTTACTGGACAAAACTCAGCCCAGAAGGAAACCTCGAACAAAAATACTCCCACCACAAATGTTACTCTTCTGGGTTACTCCATTAAGTGTTCATGGCAAAGCAGTGGGTACAAATGAAAGTCCCAAGAGATCCATATGGTGAGTGTAAGCCCAGTTACCCATCTTTCCTTTCAAGGAGGGTTTTGGAGCCTCAACTCATTTTCTCCAAATTAGATAGATAGATAGATAGACAGACAGACAGACAGAGATAGAGATGAGATAGATATGTGCGAGGGTTAAAATCACCCCAGGTGAGCTTAGAAGAAACCGTCAGAAATTCACAGTCTGGCTAAGACCTTTCCACCCCCCAGCTTGCTGCCCTGGATTGTTGTTCTGTGGGGGAAAGTTTTCATTACAGCAGCCCTGATGAGTTCATACCCCTTATCATGGGATCTTCCTGCAGATCGTGGCCAAGTTCAAATCCAGAAGTTAATCCCGGGGCTATAGACTAGAAATGCAATAGGTGAGCAGTAGTGAAGATTGACTTCCACAAAACAAATCAAACTGATCAGCATCCCAAGCCACTTTATTGGTCCTCAGCTAGGGGATCAGGGTCGCAAACATGGTTTGTCAGTTGAGCGGGGTGAAGGACTAAGGGATAGAGCTGGAGCTTGATAAATATTATTATGTTGAAACACACACTGCTTAATGGGCCAGCTCTGTCTTGCTCAAATTAGTGACATAGAATAGCCAAGTGAAGGCACCAATAACAATCAAAGCTCAGTGGCAAATATTCATAGCAAAAAACATATATACATACATCTAGATCCATTTTCCCTGATCAAAGTTCAGTGGGTTTCCCTGAAAGTGTTTTATAATTGCTGTACTTCAGTCCAAGTCAGCCAAAGGTTTGTGAGGTTTTGTAAGAAAGAGGAGATGGGTTTCTGTCAAAATCACTTACTCACATGTAATTTCCATTTCTTAGATCGTTCATGGTAAGCACATCATCCTGGGCCAGCCCCCTGGCTGCTCAGGCTCCCGGGCTTCACCCAATCCTGCCAGGCAGGGAGCAGCTGCCACAGATCCCGTCCACCTTTCTCTGTCCAATGACCTTGGGTTTTCTCTGCCACTGTGCCCGTCCACTGAGCCATGACCAAGAGTGTCATGATGGGAGACAAGGCCTGCACGGAGCCATGCTCACACCGAGAATGGCTTCCCTTTCCCACAAAATGGATGTTTTGTCGGGCACGAGGAAATAGTTTACTTTCCTCAGCATCATATCTGGAGCTAGGGCTCTAAAACAAAGGCTCGATATTCAGTTGTTTCTTCCAAATACTCAATTAAATTCCTTTTTGCTAACACTGAA